TTCAATAGACCCAGTGAAGCTGTTCAGCAAGCTAAGGTGTAGAAAGGGATTTGTTTGAGAATGAAAGACAGAAATAAAGATAGATTGCATCTTAAACAAATCTTAAAAATTTTTTCTCATATTTTTACATTTTTACTACTGTCAAGATTCCCAAAACGCAAAGCTTCATATAGAGTTTAACACTGCTGTGGCAAATGTTCCTGTTTGCAGATGACATTTTAAATGCTTTTCACATAAAGTAGCAATATGTAGTGAAAAACACTTCATTTAGGATGAATGCTTCTTTTCATAAAAGGTTGAACAACTGTTCAGGATGTTTTGCATCAAAGGCAAAAATTTGCTTCTCCCAAGTTTTTTCATCAACTTGGTTGACATTTTAAAACTTTAAAAAGGATCGACCAGCAAAATGCTTCAAGTCCATATCCCAGGATGCGGGCTAAATTATTGGAAGAAAACATTAGCAGATGACAACTGATAAACATTAATTTCTCCCTTATCTCTCTGTACTTTTTAAAACTTTCAGAATCATACCGGTAGCAGAAAAATAAATCATGTCATGCCCTTCCTGAAGAGCTAGTCCCCAGTACCATTGGCCTCTATAACTCTGAAGTGATATGAGTGGCTTATTAAATCAAAAATCTCATCCAGCCTCTTTACACTGTTGGGTTTGTACTGTTTGTTGGTGTGATAACACCAGCTGCTCCATAGACGGTCCAATATAATCAATTCTGCAAAAAGTATTCATCCATCTGGACAATAATAACTATGCCAGAGTCCTGTAGATCAACCTCATCTGCAAGATAAGTACCATTATTCTCAGTTTTGTCTAAACATTGCTTTTTGTCTCTAGATTACAGTCAATCCCCACTGGAAAACATTTTCAACTTTGTCATATTGAACAGGGTTGTGTGCTTGGTTAGTTGTTTTTAACATAAGGAAAATCTGAACATAAAATTTGCAGATGAATCCCAAAAGTAAGAATCAAATGAATCAATGAATGAATCAAAGTACAAGGAGAATAGAATAGAATAGAATAGAATAGAATAGAATAGAATAGAACATAATTTCAACTTTCTTGAAAAAGGTTTTATTATTACTCATTACAGAAAGTGAAATTCACATATAGACTCATCACACAGAGGTACATATGTCAAGCCTTCATTTCTTGTAAATTAGACCATCATGGCTTAATGCAAAGCCAAAATTCATTGTCTCAGAATATGTAAATATTAAGAAAAAGGTAAATATTGAAAACACTTGATGTCAAATCCTAAAAATTGAATTATCCCAAAACACCTCAAATGTTTCCTGAGCCTCAGGTCATGGGTAAGACTGCTAATTGGACAGATGTCCAGAAGACATTCAATGACACCCTTCATAAGCCAAAGTTATCATTCCTTGAGAGGCTGGTTGTTCAGCCTCTCAAGGAACAATCATAAAAAGCTAATATGCTTGGCTTTTCATGAATAGCCAAGCATATTCATAAAAAGCTAATATGCTTGGCTTTTCATGAATAGCCAAG